CCAAACTCCGGCCTCGCTTCTATGGTCCTTTTCTCGTTGAGGCACAGGTGACACCAGTTACATTCCGCTTGCGCTTACCAGATACATGGAAGCTTCACAACGCTTTCCATGTCCAGCTACTGAAGCCCTACAAGGACCCCAACCAACAGTTCCAGGGACGGCAACCACCGCCACCACCACCTGTTCTCATACAGGATGAACCCGAGTACGAGATCGAGCGCGTTCTCTCTCATCGGCGCCGCGGTGGCAAGACTCTTGAGTTCTTGATACGCTGGAAGGGATACGACCCCACTGAGGACAGTTGGGTTGTAGAAGCTGATATGGGCAACGCACGCCGTGCTCTCAAGGACTATCTTGTCAAGCAGGGTGTATCTCACGCCACCCAGCTTTGAGGGGGGGACGTGTGAGAGTACGACGGCTTATGCCAGCTATGCTTGCTTGCCTCTACTTTATCATGCTATTTCTAGCATAGGATAATCATATGCATGCATGAATTGCTTGATTTCCTAGGCTAGGTGCTTTCCTATATTTTATTATAGTTATAGCACCGAGCTAGGTTGCGTGCACCGAATTCTGGCTTTTCGGTTGCCACCGAATTGCCTTCTACCGAATTCGGTAAGGATCTGTTCGGGACGCTTCGCGACCCGCGGAACCTTCGCGTAACACCTGGTTACGGGGCCTTGTGTCGAGCCTATATATGGCCTCGTGTTGTACCCAGGTGGACATTCAATTCAATTCAATTTGAATCATCTTTTCTGAGCTCGATCCCAGATCCTCACAGGTATGATGAACTGAACTGTAGTCGCATGCCGAAATGCTGCCACAGATTCCGCCAGAAGTTGCTGGTGAATTTCGTGTCGCGGTCGCTGATGATCGCAGCTGGTATCCCGTGCAGTCGAACGACGGTGGAGATGAAGAGGCGTGCTGTTTCTTCGGCTGTGATTGATTATTTGCAGGCTGCGAAATGTGCCATTTTCGTCAGTCGATCAACGACGACCAGGATCGCGTCGTTCCCACTTGCCCCGGCTGGTAACCCCGTGACGAAGTCCATCGTCACCAGCTGCCAAGCACGCTCTGGGGGTGGTATCGACTGCAACTGTCCTGCCGGCCAGTGTCGTGATGATTTCATGAGCTGACAAGTGGGACACTATGCCTCGTGTCGTTGTTCGTCGGTCAATATTTCGGGCCAGAAATAATACCGCTGCAGCTGCTGACGTGTCTTTTCTACTCCGAAATGCCCCAAGGTAACTCCGTCGTGTGCCTCCTGTAACAGTAATTCCCGTAGCTGTGTATACCCAGGCACCCAAATGCGGTCAGTCCCGGTTTTTACGTAATATGCTCCCTTTGCTGTTGCGAACTGCTGCAAGTTTCCTCCTGTGAAGAATGGATCCGTTTGGTACCCGTGGGTGAATAGGCCTGTCAGTAGCGGGCTTGTCTAGGCGAGTAGTATTGCGTGGATCTGGGCAGTGGGGCGGGTCAGTGCGTCAGCGATGTTCGAGGCTCCCTTTTTGTAAGTGACCATGTAGTGAAAGTTGGACTCGAGGAAATCGAGCCAGCGAATCTTTTGTGGGTTGAGGTGTGGCTGTGCGCGAAGGTACTGTAATGATTTATGGTCTGTCCGTACTGTCACGTCCGCGCTAGTCAAGTAACAGCGCCATACTTTGAACGCGTGCACGATCGCAAGCACTTCGCGGTCGTGTATCGGGTAATTTTTCTCGTGCGGATGCAGTTTTCGTGACTCGTATGCGATAGGCTGTAGGCCATTGCCGAAATCCTGCAGCAGTACGGCTCCGATGGCAATATTGCTTTTGTCGGTAACTACTTCGAATCGACGATGCGCAGGACGGGCGGGGAACAGAGAACATTTTTCAGGGCAGAGAAGGCAGCATGCTCTTTCTCCCCCCACGTAAAAGCGACCCCCTTCCGCAGTAAGTCCGTCAGTGGGGCAGTTAACCGTGCCATATCGGGACGAACCGACGCACAAAATTAACGAACCCTAAAAAGCTTTGCAGCTCCGTGATGTTCGTCGGGGGATGCCACGCTTTTACCGTATCCAGCTTCTTTGGGTCGATTTCAACTCCAGCCTCCGAAATAACGTGCCCAAAAAATTCTAACCTATCCTGGAAGAACTCGCACTTGGAACCCTTGGTCAGTAATCTGTGCTCGTCTAAAACCTTCCAGATCTGCTAAGTGCTGCTGCTTATCCCGACTGTACACTAGGATGTCGTCGAGGTAAACTATTACACATTTATATGAGAGCGGCCTAAATGCCTCGTTCATGGTCATCTGAAAAGTCGCCGGTGCGTTGGTCAGCCCGAATGGCATCACAGTGTACTCGAACGACCCGTACCTAGTCCTGAAAGCTGTTTTGGCGCAGTCCGATGGTTCGACCCTAATCTGATGGTAACCTCCCCGTAAATATATTTTCGAAAAAACCCGTGCTGTTCGCAGTTGGTCGATCAGTTCGTCGACGCGGGGAATGGGGTACCGCGACTTGACTGCTACCCTGTTCAGTGCTCTGTAGTCGATACACATGCGAAAACCCCCGTCTTTTTTCGACGTGAATAGTATCGGTGCGGCGAACGGTGACGAGCTAGGTTTGATGAATTTTTTCTCTAACAGGTAATCTAACTGCTTCCTTAGTTCGTCGAGCTCGGGCTGTGTCAGTATGAACTGGCGCTGTACGGTTGGCTATGCCCCCGGTTCTAATTCAATTTGGTGGTCATGCGCTCGCTGAGGTGGCAGTCCTTCCAGTAAGTCGTCGGGGAAAATCCCGGGGTATCGTTGATAAGAAACGAGGAATGAATGCATTGAGGAATGGGGAGTACAAGTAGTAAACCCTAAAGTGCTGTACCCCATATGAACTACCCCACTACAGCCTACACAGACTATAGCATATATGCCTGACACACCCCCATAGGCAAAGTGGGGGAGAACAAGGGGTCACAAGACCAGTCAAGCAAAGCAAAGCAAGCTCAGGGTGGATCACAACGTCACCACACAGTCCGAGCACAAGAGCAAGGCCACAAGGCCAGTTCACATGCAAGATCATATATATAAAGGTAAACAAGCAAGTGCAGGTATAGAAAGATCACAGTACAAGCAAGGTCAAGAAGTGAGCAAGTGAGGCCAAGTAGGCACAAGACCTAGCATAGTACAGAAGCGCTGATGATCGCAAGGCGGAAGTGCCTTGGTAAAGATATCAGCAGTGTTGGCCTCAGAGGCCACGTACGCAAGTTGCAACTGACCACGAGCAAGAAAGTAGCAAAGAGCAATGTGCTTCGTTCTGTGCTCCAGTCTGTGCTCCCGACACAAGGCCAACATGGCCTTGTTGTCTACGTATAGAACTGGAGGAGAACGAGGCGGCTCTCCTAGGTCAGTCAGCTTGTAGGTGAGCCAGCGTAGCTCCTGTGCAGCCATGGCCCCCGCGTAGATCTCAGCCTCACAGCTAGAGGTGAGAACAGAAGACGAGCGGGTAGACCGCCACGAAACAGAGCCGGAACCAAGGCTGAAGGTGTAACCCTGTGACGACCGCTGCAGAGCCTGGTCCTCAGCCCAAGAAGCGTCTGCGTGACCTGTTAGGACCACTCGACGTCGCCCTCCAAGCACTAGCCCCATGCCCGACGTACTGCACAAGTAGCGCAACACCCTCTTCGCTGCAGCCATGTGCTCTGGTCGGTGTCTCCCATGTCAAACTTATATCCTATAGTCTGTGTAGGCTGTAGTGGGGTAGACTATATGGGGTACAACATTTCTAGGTTTTCCTACTTGTACCCACCTGCTTGCTAGTTCATTCATTCCTCAATTCTCACATGGTATAGAGCAGGTTCCCTCGTGGGAACTTCCTAGGGCCCACCACTGAACTTCGACTTTTTTTTCCTGCCCTGAGATCGAGTCGCTTCTGACCGAGGCGCGCCCAGTGTACCGCCCTCCCCTTAGCAACCCGTCGTGCCGCTCTCAGCGGCCCTCCCCCTCTCTCACGGCCCCTCCCGACCCCGTCGCCGCTCTCCTAGCGGCCCGTCGCGCCGCCCTCAGCGGCCCCTCCTCCACGGCCCCGTCGCCGCCCTATCGCGGCCCCGTCGCCGCCCTATCGCGGACCCGTCGCCGCCCTCTTGCGGCCCCGTCGCCGCCCTATCGCGGCCCCGTCGCCGCCCTCTTGCGGCCCCGTCGCCGCCCTCTCGAGGCCCCATCACCGCCCTATCGCGGCCCCGTCGCCTCCCTCTCGCGGCCCCGTCACTGCCGTTCGCGGCCCCGTCGCCGCTCGTAGCGGCTCTGCAGCCGCCCCTCGCGGCCTCGTCGCCGCCCTCTCGCGGCCGCGTCGGCGCCCTCTAGCGGCCCGCGTCGCCGCCCTCTTGCGGCCTCGAGGCTGCCCCTTCGCGGCCCCGCTACCGCTCCTAAGCGGCCTCCACGCCGCCCCTACCGAGCCGCCCAGCAGCGGAGCCGCCGAGCCGCTCAGCAGCAGAGCTACCGAGCCGCCCAGCAGCCGAGCCGCCCGACAGCCGAGCCGCCGAGCCGCCCGACCACCGAGCCGCCCAGCGGCCGAGCTGCCCAGCAGCCGAGCCGCCCAGCAGCCGAGCCGCCTAGCCGCCGAGCCGCCCAGCAGCCGAGTCGCCGAGCCGCCCGACCGCCGAGCCGCCCAGCAGCCGAGTCGCCGAGCCGCCCGACTGCCAAGCCGCCCAGCAGCCGAGTCGCCGAGCCGCCTGACCGCCGAGCCGCCCAGCAGCAGAGCCGCTGAGCCGCTACCAGTCCTACTGACGCTCCCCGGCCCTACTTACTCGTAGTGGTGAGCCCACTACTTGCTAGACCTCTGCAGTCATGGCTACCCCCAGTGTTCTTACATTTGACACTGAGGGCCGTGCTGTTGACTTTCAGGTCTGGGTAGACGGCTTTCAGGTCTGGGTAGACGGCAAATACAGCGTCGACCCAGACCTGAAAGTCAACAGCACGGCCCTCAGTGTCAAATGTAAGTCAACAGCGACTGTGGGAAAGGCAGCAAGGTCATGGGAGAGGTACGGTAGCATGAGGCGGCTCAGTGCAGCAGTGGCAGGGGAAGAGTAGCGTGCAAATACAGCGTCGTACAAACCTGAAAGTCAACAGCTCAGACCTTGTACGACTCTGTATTTGCACGCTACTCTTCCCCTGCCACTGCTGCACTGAGCCGCCTCATGCTAGCGTACCTCTCCCATGACCTTGCTGCCTTTCCCACAGTCGCTAACCTCATTACGCACCTCCGCACTAGTGACACTCGCTACCGCGCTGTGCTTCCTGCTGAGTTCTGCGCCAAGAACCCCCCCCCCCCCATGTACATCACCCTCTACTACATAGTCACCCGCCTCCCTGACTCTCTCCGCGTAGAAGGGCATAGTCGCTGTAGGAGCCTCTCGTGGTGACCCTCGCACCCCCATCTTTGAGGGGTGTTACCCCTCCCCCCTCTTGCCCTCTGTTGCTTCTGCTGCTGCGGCCGACCTCGTTGGTTTCGAGTCGGTCGGCGCTGCGTCTGCCCCTAGCGGGAGACGCCGCACCGGCAAGGGCAAGGGGGGCAAGGGCGCTGGAGGGGCTAGCGGGGGCGCTGGAGGTGGTGGTGGGGGCAGTGGAGGGGGTGGGGGTGGTGGTGGGAGTGGTGGCGGGGGTGGCGGCGGCGGCAGCAGTGGAGGCGGTGGAGGCGGCGATGGTGGCGGAGGGAGCGGAGGCGGCGTAGGTGGCGGCGGAGGCGAAGCTGGAGGAGGCGGCGGAGGCGGCGGCGGCGGCGGTGGTGGAGCGGGTCGCGACTCTGCGCAGAGGAGTGGGTCAGGTGGTGGTCCGCGGGAGCAGCAGCGGAGTGGTGTGACCCTGTCCCCTCAGCAGCTTCGTGAGTGGTACGCTGCGCGTCAGCGCGGCGAGGGTACTGGTCCCTGCACTTACGTCCTCCGTACCGGCGACCGAGCTGGTGAGCAGTTCGGGGGCCCGCACTCCGCCCACCGCTGCTTCGGCCGCCAGAAGAACGCGTGGCGTCACCAGTTCCCTGAGGCGTCAGAGATCCCTCGCTGGGGAGAGCTGTCTAGGGCGGGGGTTGCCATCTTTGATCTTGACTATGATGCTATCCATCCTGCCATGTATTCTGTGACTACTAGTGTTGAGGGTGACTGTTACCTGTGTGTACCGCCTAACCTGGGCATTGAGGCCACTGCTCTAGGTGCTGGTGAGGCTGCTGCTCTAGGTGCTAGTGCGTCTGCTGCCCCAGGTGCTAGTGCGTCTGCTGCCCCAGGTGCTAGTGAGTCTGCTCTCTCAGGTACTACGTCGGCTCAGGCCTTCCACACCTTCACCCTTGACTCGGGTGCTTCCCGCTCCTTCTTTCGAGACCGCACCACTCTTACGCCGCTCGGTCGGCCGGTTGCAGTCTCACTGTACGTGTGCTCGGACAGGCCGACACTTGGCCACGTTCACCCGTCGGCCAGGGTCGAGCCTGTACACCCTTACTACTGAGTCTCCTCCGGCTGCTGAGTCTCGCCAGGTAGCTGCGTCGAGTCAGGTGTTTGCTGCAGCGTCCAGGTCTGGTCCTGAGTCTGCTCCCTGCTCGTGTCGTCTACTGTCCCACCAGACTCTCCCCTGGCACCACCGCCTTGGTCACCCCTCCCTGCCTTGTCTTCGAGGCATGGCCTCCCGTGTCCTTGTCTCTGGTCTCCCTCGGTCTCTCCCTCTCCTACCTCCGAGGCCTCGCCCTACTTGCGTCCCCTGCGTCGAGGGGCGACAGCACGCCGCTAAAGACCCTCCACATGGACGTGCGCCCTACTTGCCCCTCACTCCTCCGAGTTTCCTTCGACAGAGGCTCCGCTACAGACCCTCCACATGGACGTGTGGGGCCCCGCCCGCGTCCGTGGGCAGGGGCACGAGCGTTACTTCCTGCTGGTGGTTGACAACTACTCGTGTTACACCACAGTCTTCCCCTTGCACAGCAAGGGTGACGTCACTGAGGTGTTGATCGACTGGATCCGCGCAGCGCGTCTCCAGCTCAGGGAGAGTTTCGGCTCGGACTTTCCTGTTCTGCGTCTGCACTCGGACAGAGGCGGGGAGTTTTCCTCTGCCCGTCTGGGAGCCTTCTGTCATGCACAGGGCATCCGCCAGACCTTCACGCTTCCAGACTCTCCACAGCAAAGTGGGATTGCTGAGCGCCGCATTGGCATGGTAATGGACGTCGCTCGTACGTCCATGATGCATGCGGCTGCCCCCCATTTTCTGTAGCCGTTTGCGGTTCAGTACGCAGCGCATCAGCTCAACCTTCAGCCCCGGGTCTCCTTGCCAGAGACCTCCCCCACCTTGCGGTGGACGGGGAAGGTTGGCGATGCGTCTGCGTTTTGGGTCTGGGGATCTCGGGCGTTTGTCCGCGACTTGTCTGCGGACAAGCTGTCCCCCCGTGCTGTTCCCTGCGTCTTCCTTGAGTGTCCACAACCTGTCCAGTCGCCGTCACAGTTACAGACCGCCTCCCCCCTACCTGCTCCTTCTCCCTACACTGGTCCTACTAGAGGTCTTGCTGAGCGTCGTGAGCCTGCGTCTCGTCCTGCGTCGCCTGTTCGTGCTGCTCGCACTAGTGGTCATACTGCGCGTCCGCGTCCTCCTGCGGTCCCAGGCACACACCAGATGGCGCTGCGTCCTTCCACTGCTCCTCTGCGTGTCCTGTTGCCATCTCCTCCAGAGTCCTCTCTTCCTACTCTTACTGACCCGGAGTCTGACTCTCTTCGTGCTGCCAGACTTTCTGTCACGCGTCTCCTGGCTACTGTTGTCACTGACCCTTCCTTTGAGTCCCCTGCTGCGTCTGCCCTAGTTGCTGAACTTGTCGACTTCGCTGCTCGCTGTCGTCTAGACTACGCTGCTAGTCTAGTTGCTGGGTCTGAGTCTGTCTGTCCTCCGTCCGTCAGGGGTGAGAGTGCTCTTAGCACGGACGTCCTTGAGGACAGGCAGGAGGAGTTCCAGTGCTTTGCTGCTGCTTTGCCCCATCTTGTGTCCATGCTGATTGCCCCTGAGGGAGACCCGGATGCACCAGACATCCCGACTCCTCAATCGTACGCTGAGGCGATCGAGGGTCCCTACTCCTCTCAGTGGCAGTCGGCCATGGACGCAGAGATGGCTTCCTGGAAGTCCACAGGCACCTACGTTGACGAGGTTCCCCCACCTGGGGCGAACATCGTCAGTGGCATGTGGATTTTCAGGGTGAAGCGGCCGCCGGGTTCTCCGCCTGTCTTCAAGGCGCGTTACCTCGCTCAAGGCTTCAGTCAGCGGCAGGGAGTTGACTACTTTCAGACCTTCTCTCCCACCCCAAAGATGACCACTCTTCGGGTTTTGCTGCACATCGCCGCTCAGCGCGACTACGAGCTTCACTCTCTTGACTTCAGCACGACTTTCCTCTAGGGCAGCCTGCATGAGGAGATGTGGCTGCGCCGCCCACCTGGCTTCACTGGGTCGTTTCCTCCTGGTACCCAGTGGAGCCTCCGACGGCCAGTCTACATGGTGTCAAATGTAAGAACACTGGGGGTAGCCATGACTGCAGAGGTCTAGCAAGTAGTGGGCTCACCACTACGAGTAAGTAGGGCCGGGGAGCGTCAGTAGGACTGGTAGCGGCTCAGCGGCTCTGCTGCTGGGCGGCTCGGCGGTCAGGCGGCTCGGCGACTCGGCTGCTGGGCGGCTTGGCAGTCGGGCGGCTCGGCGACTCGGCTGCTGGGCGGCTCGGCGGTCGGGCGGCTCGGCGACTCGGCTGCTGGGCGGCTCGGCGGCTAGGCGGCTCGGCTGCTGGGCGGCTCGGCTGCTGGGCGGCTCGGCCGCTGGGCGGCTCGGCGGTCGGGCGGCTCGGCGGCTCGGCTGTCGGGCGGCTCGGCTGCTGGGCGGCTCGGTAGCTCTGCTGCTGAGCGGCTCGGCGGCTCCGCTGCTGGGCGGCTCGGTAGGGGCGGCGTGGAGGCCGCTTAGGAGCGGTAGCGGGGCCGCGAAGGGGCAGCCACGAGGCCGCAAGAGGGCGGCGACGCGGGCCGCTAGAGGGCGCCGACGCGGCCGCGAGAGGGCGGCGACGAGGCCGCAAGGGGCGGCTGCAGGGCCGCTACGAGCGGCGACGGGGCCGCGAACGGCGGTGACGGGGCCGCGAGAGGGAGGCGACGGGGCCGCGATAGGGCGGCGATGGGGCCTCGAGAGGGCGGCGACGGGGCCGCAAGAGGGCGGCGACGGGGCCGCGATAGCTTGGCCTCGCTTGCTCACTTCTTGACCTTGCTTGTACTGTGATCTTTCTATACCTGCACTTGCTTGTTTGCCTTTATATATGATCTTGCATGTAAGCTGGCCTTTTGGCCTTGCTCTTGTGCTCGGATTGTGTGGTGACTTTGTGATCCACCCTGAGCTTGCTTTGCTTTGCTTGACTGGTCTTGTGACCTCTTGTTCTCCCCCACTTTGCCTATGGGGTTGTGTCAAACTTATATGCTATAGTCTATGTAGGCTGTAGTGGGGTAGACTATATGGGGTACAACATTTCTAGGTTTTCCTACTTGTACCCACCTGCTTGCTAGTTCATTCATTCCTCAATTCTCACATCCCAGGAGCAACATAGCTTGCCAAGATACTAAGAGGGTATGCAAGGTCAGGTCGTGTGCAGGTCATCAGGTACATGAGGCAGCCAACAAGCTCTGGGTACGGGCCACTCGGCTCTACGGACTCATCCGAAGGCACAGCTGAGAGCGAGTGGCGAGTAGACAGAGGAGTGGCCTGAGGCGAGGAGTACGTGAAGTCGAAGCGCTGAAGGACCTGCTGCACCATGTATGACTGAGTCAGGGTAATGGTGCGCTGTGCTCTGTCCCGGGTGATCTTCAAGCCAAGGTAGCTGCGCAGTTCACCCAGGTCTGTGCACTTGTGTCTCTTCTGCAGCTCGGACTTCACGTGGGCGAGTCCAACAGTGTCAGCAGTGGCAAAGACCAAGTCGTCGACGTACACGAGGATGTAGAACGGCGGCAAAGAGGTGTTGGTGCGCAAAAACAGCGACGGGTCGGCAGTAGAAGGAGCAAACCCAAGAGCCGCAAGTGTAGTCCTCAGTGTGTCTTCCACTCACGTGGCGCCTGGCGGAGACCGTAGACTGGCCACTGGAGGCTCCACTGGGTACCAGGAGGAAACAACCCAGTCAAGCCAGGTGGGCGGCGCAGCCAGATCTCCTCGTGCAAGCTGCCCTGCAGGAAGGCTGTGCTGAAGTCAATAGAGTGAAGCTCGTAGTCACGCTGAGCGGCTATGTGCAGCAGCACCCAAAGAGTGGTCATCTTCGGGGTGGGAGAGAAGGTCTGAAAGTAGTCAACTCCCTGTCGCTGACTGAAGCCTCGAGCGACGTAACGCGCCTTGAAGACAGGCGGAGAACCCGGCGGCCGCTTCACCCTGAAAATCCACATGCCACTGACGATGTTCGCCCCACGTGGGGGAACCTCGTCGACGTAGGACTGGAACTCCTCCTGCCTGTCCTCAAGGACGTCCGTGCTAAGAGCACACTCACCCCCGACGGACGGAGGACAGAGAGACTCAGACTCAGCAACAAGACTAGTAGCGTAGTCTAGACGACAGCGAGCAGCAAATTGGACAAGCTCAGCAACTAAGGCAGACGCAGCAGTGGACTCAAAGGAAGGGTCAGTGACAACGGTAGCCAGGAGACGCGTGACAGTATGACTGGCAGCACGAAGAGAGCCAGACTCCAGGTCAGCAAGAACAGGAAGAGAGGACTCTGTAGGAGACGGCAACTGAACACGCAGAGGAGCAGTGGAAGGACGCAATGCCATCTGGTGTGTGCCTGGGACCGCAGGAGGACGTGGACGCAGAGCACGACGACTGGTGCGAGCAGCACGAACAGGCGACGCAGGATGAGACGCAGGCTCACGACGCTCAGCAAGACCTCCAGTAGGACCAGTGTAGGGAGAAGGAGCAGGTAGGGGGGAGGCAGGCTGTAACTGTGACGGCGACTGGACAGGCTGTGGACACTCTAAAGGAGGAGCAGCACCAGTAGAGGGCGGGAGACAAAGAACCTGCTCAAGAAGGGGAACGAAGTACGGCCTCGGCCGCGCAGCGCCTCTAGAACCAGCAGGGACAGCACCAGTACCCCCCAGCGGCAGTACCAGCACCAGCAGCACCTCCAGCTCCAACAGCGCCAACTCCAGCACCCTCAAAAGCACCAGCGCTAGTAGCACCTCCAACGCCAACACCCTCAGCAGCTCCAGCTCCAGCCGCTCCTGCAGCTCCAGCTCCAGCAGCACCACCTCCAGCAGGATCGTCAGCTCCAGGACCGCCAGCAGCTCTAGGAGTACAACCAGCAGAACTAACTCCAGCAGCCCCAGCAGCACCCCCTGTCTCAGCAGCTCCAGTACCACAAGTACGAGCACCTCCAGGACCAGCGGCAACACTAGAAACTCCAGCTCCGGCAGCACGGCTCCAGCGGCGGGCAAACCACTCGCGTAGCTCCTGCGGAGAGAGTGGCTCCCGCCTCGACGAAGCACCGCGAGAGGCCACACGAGCCGACCCAACACCCCCAGGCTCCGCACCCCCAGGCTCACCACCCCTAGGCTCAGCACCTCCAGACTCAGCACCCCTAGGCGCAGCACCTCCACACTCAGCACCCCCAGGCTCAGCACCCCCAGGCTCAGTACCTCCAGACCCGGCACCCGCAGGCTCAGCACCTCTAGCAGCACCAGAGTCAACCGCTACCTCGACAGGCTCGGTTGCGTCTACCTGGGACACACCTGACGGGGCAGGACCCTGAG